TTGGGAATTGATGGATCAGGGAATTCCAGCAGTTGGGAATTGATGGATCAGGGAATTCCAGCAGTTGGGAATTGATGGATCAGGGAATTCCAGCAATAGGGAATTGATGGATCAGGGAATTCCAGCCTGGAATTGGTGGAGCAAGGAATTGATGGGAGCAGGGAATTGATGGGAACAGGGAATTCATGGGAACAGGGAATTCCAATGGCCTGGAATTCATGGGAATGGGGAATTTCTGGAACAGGGAATTGATGGAGCAGGGAATTCCAGCCTGGAATTCATGGGAGCAGGGAATTGATGGGAACAGGGAATTCCAGTGGCCTGGAATTGATGGATCAGGGAATTCCAGCAGTTGGGAATTCATGGATCAGGGAATTCCAGCCTGGAATTGATGGGAGCAGGGAATTGATGGGAATAGGGAATTCCAGTGGCCTGGAATTCATGGGAATGGGGAATTCGTGGAGCAGGGAATTGATGGATCAGGGAATTAATGGATCAGGGAATTCCAGCAATTGGGAATCGATGGATCAGGGAATTCCAGCAATTGGGAATTGATGGATCAGGGAATTGGTGGATCAGGGAATTCCAGCAATTGGGAATTGATGGATCAGGGAATTGAATTGATGGATCAGGGAATTCCAGCAGCCTCCGAGTGTTTATTCCCTACACATTTCCACAGGATCCGCTGCTCTCAATCCGATCTCATCCCACACGGGAGGGGATGGAAAACTCTGAGAATTCATCCCAAAATTCCTCAGGCATGGGAAATTGGGAATTACCTTTTCCCAACATCACTCCAATATGTCAGAACACTGGAATTCCACACCAGGCTTGGAATATTTTGAATATTTGAGCATTTCCAAGTGAGTTCCTCGTATCCAAGAATTTTTTATTTTTTTTTTCCTGGAATTTGTGTTTTTCCTTGACTGAAATCATCAGGATCGAGAGCAAACACGAAGTGACGATCCTCGGAGGACTCAACGAATTCGTCGTGAAGTTTTATGGACCACAAGGAAGTGAGTTCATTTGGGAAAAAATTTTGGGAAAACTCTTTTGGGAAAATTGGGAATGGGATTCCAGATCCACAAAAATGAGGGGGGATGGAGGGAAATCCATGGAATTTGGTGAGGATCCAACCGTGAGCAGATCCCGTCCTTGGAAATGGCA